GCCCAGTATCCATTTTTGAAAGTGACTGAAAGTTGAGTGACCATTTACGCAAGTTTCCAACTTCAGTGACCATTTTATTATTTTGCTGTAACTTCAGTGACCATTTGTGAAATTAACCCATAAATCAACTCTACTCAAGTCTCAACCATAACAAATGTGTCTTTATGGCAGCAGAGAGAGCATAATTTTAGAAACTTATAATTATACCCAAACATGCTAGCCCTGCCCCGTTCCTAATTACTCTTCGCCCTGCTCTGCACTCACCCCTCCTCTTCCGAATACTCAGCAATCAATTGGTTTGCCAAGATGGCGGGCACTGGAATACACACCTACCACCAGCAATGGCTGCCTGCCCCGGGCCCTCCGCCTCCTCCCGCCGCCGCTCCTCCTCCGTATCCACACCCCCATCCTCCGTCCATCCTCTCACCGTTAGATGAGGTAAAAAAACACTCTACTTTCATTCATTTATTGTTATAATGTTAGAGTAATTATCAGATGCGAATGATTCATTTAGAATTGTGATGATAAGTTAATGATTCATATATCGGATTTGAAGGTACGGACTATATTTATATCGGGGTTACCGGAGGACGTGAAGGAGAGAGAGTTGCAGAATTTGTTGAGGTGGTTGCCGGGCTACGAGGCTTCCCAGGTTAATTTCAAAGGAGAACATCCGATGGGTTTCGCACTTTTTACTACTGCGCAGCATGCTCTTGCTGCCAAGGATGCCCTTCAGGTCATCTTTTATGCTCTTAATGTTTTGGGTCTTTCAATTGGTTCCCTTTTTGAATGTTTTGGAGGCATAATGTTGTTTTTTTGTTTTTTTGTTTTTGGAATTCTTCTGGGGTTAAGGAGATGGTTTTTGATACGGATTCAAAATCTGTATTGCACACTGAGATGGCAAAGAAGAATCTTTTCGTAAAAAGGGGTGAGCTTTATTTAATTTTTTTGGAATTATGAATTTAAATACATCAGGAATACCTAATGAGTCTGACTGCTCTAAATTGATAAAGCTGTGAAATATTGGCGGAATGTTTATGCTTTCTGTTATTATTAACTAGCCTGGATAGGGTAACCTTGAAAATGGGAGGAAAGGAACTAAAGGAGAAGATGGTGTTTTTGAAATGAAATATAGAAGTCACAAGTCACGAGCTTTTATGTAGCTAAACGAAAAAATAACCTATGGGAAACAGCCAACAGTTATTGTCTATTTCTTTCTTGGAGAATATTTGAATTGAAATAAGGAATAAGTTTCGGAAGTACTTGTTTCAAACCTCCTAAAATATGTTCTGGTCATCATGAAAATTCCTGAAAATGTAGGATTAGCACAGAGACATGCTCACCCATTTCGAAACAAGCGAGCAAAAATGTTCTATTTTTTTAGTAGATTAGACCTACTTCGTTATGAGAAGTGTTGATTTAGTGGTATGTTACTTGTGGAGAACTTTCGAAGTTAGAAAATGACCAACTAGTCGTTTCATGAGTATTGATAATTTTGCAGTATTGGACAAAGATGGCCCGAGCCTCGTGCCCAAGTTGTTGTATTATATATATTGTCCACTTTAGAAGAGTCTAAGTCCATCTTATTTACAATGCTTGCCAAACACCCTGGTCGATATCACTTATGTTACATGAGGTTTCATATACAGTCCATGCTACCCAGTTAGTTGAGTCATCTCTCTATGACAGTTTGGGTTTTAATTTATTTCACTTGATATTGCCTATATATCTTTTCTTGCAGGAATAGTTTCTGATTCAAATACTTACGACCAAAGTAAACGGATGCGAACTGGTGATGATTATACACATACTGGCTATTCAAGTCCATCTCCTTTCCATCCTCCTACAGCGCCTGTTTGGGCACCTCATGGGTAAGTTGGATTAAAAAAATATATCATATGCAAAAGGATTCTTTATCATATTAGTGCAGTTGTCAGATTGAAATCACAGACTCAACAGTTACTTTAACTAATGGAGATGACTATCTGGCTTAGGTATATGGCACCAGCACCTCCACCTTATGATCCATATGGGGTTTATGCTGTTCCTCCAGTGCCAATGCCTGCTCCAGCTCCTCGACCAGCACCAAGCAGTTACGCACCTATTCAGGTGAATATCCTATCTGTGCTTTTGGTTGCTCCTTTTGTTTTGGAATCTTGTTGATTGCCTATTTGTGTTTACTCCTTTCCCTTTTTCTCTTGTTCAGATAGCATCTCCAGTTCTTAGCCAAGTATAGAGCAAATTTGAAGTTTGCTCATAATTTTACTGATTGGCTTTCCATTCAGTGTTTAATGGTTTTCACTTTTTTTGGCATCTCTAGAAACTTGAGTTCACGTTTTTTTCAGCAAGCACGGCTGGCAACGTGAAAGCTTCCATTCAGTATTGTCATTTCATTAAAAAGTTACTTTAGGAAATACAAATTTCTTGTAGACATTTGCGCAGTGTAGTCTTATATAGGCAGATTGATTCTTATTGGTCTTTTGTTGATGTTATCTCGAAATTTATCTATGATTATCACGCAGTGACTTTTGCTGCCATATTTGAAGTAATCACGCCTCAACTATTCATTGTCTAAAATTCTCTGTGTTTAAGGAGTGAAATTGTTTTAGCTGCATATGTGAAAGCATTAGCTTAAGATAGTAAGATATCAAGGGCAACATTTCTTGCATTAACTGCAGTATTTCCCTATAAATAAGTTATTCATTCCATTTCTATCCTATTGAAGGCATTCAAAATTTCTATAGAAGCATTGGACTGCGTGCTGAGAGCTTGGCCACACAATATGTGGCGAATGACCATGTGCTCCAATTCGCTCCTCTTTTATATTTCAAAATAAGAAAAGCCTATGCAGCTCACTGTAAATTAAATTTAAACAATGTCGCGACAAAATGTTGTCTCAATATTGGAGCATTCATGCCAAGGTGCTGGTAATATTTAGCTTCTCTTGACTCAAGAGTTTGATTCATCTTGAGTGTGAATGCATTCATTTTTTACTTGTCTTGATATCACACGTATACTTCAGCCAAAAATTAGTCTCTGTAAATGATTAGCCTTATTTAGCTGGTTCATTTTTTTTATGCATGTTTGCTGAATCCTTGTGATACTAGTAGCCTGAGGTTAAAAATTGAAGAACACAGTAAGATACTTATCGAATTGCGTATTGTAACAATTGCTTATTTGATATTTTTATTACCCATACTCTTTAGGCCCCCACCCTCCCGGGTTAGTTTTGAATGGTTATTAGAAAGCTGAGTTATTCATGTTGCTTGCAGAATACCAAAGACAACCCTCCTTGCAATACTCTATTTATTGGCAATCTTGGGGAGAATATTAACGAGGAAGAGCTGAGGGGCCTTGTCAGTATGTATGGTTTTCACATTTATGGCTCATTTCTAACCATTCTGTATCAAACATTTTCCCACATTTTAAGTATTGACCAGTTCTCGAGATTTACGGTACTTTTACCTGTGCAGACAACCTGGTTTTAAGCAGATGAAGATTATAAGACAGGAAAGACATACCGTTTGCTTCATTGAGTTTGAAGTAAGATTCTGGGTTTGTCAATTGGTTGATAGTCTCTTTTTCTCGTAATTCCTTTTGTCGCTCCTCTCTCTATACTGCTGGATTATGCACATTGATGTTCTGTTGTATCATGCAGGATGTGAATAGTGCCACCAATGTACACCACAGCTTGCAGGGTGCTATTATACCCAGTTCTGGTTCTGTTGGCATGCGTATTCAATATCCTTTCTTTGATGCTTTTTCATGTTTCCATTTTTTATGTTTGTCCTTACCCCGTTCATTGCCTCATGTCTACTTCAATTTTGATGCTTAGCTCTCTAGCTCCTATATGAGATCTTTATGCCTTTTTTTGGTTTTTAAAAAAAAGATATATTTTTTTGTTAATTATCTTTTCTTTTTGCCCAATCCTCATTTCTTCCCTACATGTCCACCCTACACATACTTTCGAAGAAAAGAAGCAAAATGTAATAAAGAAACAACTAAGCAAGCATTTTTTGAATAGTGAAGTCTACATTTCAATACTTTATTCTTATTTAGACGTTTGCGTTTTTCTTTGACCTCAAGAAACATATTCAAAGAATCCGTTTGGGAAGAGGAAGGACTCCAACTACCCTGGTGTTTCCCCCGCAATGAATGGAGCACCACCACCAATGAACTACCAGTAGCTAGAAGGGGATGTATTCTGTTCTCTATGCTCTGACAAATGCAAACCCACTACATGATAGGATGCATCATGCAGATATTGCATGCATCCATTTCATCATCAAGTCATTAACATTAGCATCTACTCTCATGTATTGTTGCACTCAGTGAAGTCTTGAAACATACTGTTGGTTCATGTTATACTCAAGAGTTTTAAAAACATGCACTCAAGGCACTGCTTTATTGTGATGGTTTGCTAACCTATCACATGTAATTCTGTTCAATATTTGTGCTTTTCTGCCTCGTTTGATATCAGGAAATGGATTCCTCAACATGACTTTATGACCCTAGAAAGAAAACGACAATTATACTCATTTGCACCAACACTCATGTCATCGCATTTCAGTAAGAAAACTGATACTTCTATTTCATTACACTATCATTAGTTCATTATATGAACGACCTAGAAATGCTCATCATGTAGATCATATTGCCATTTCAATTAATAAAACAATCTCCACCTTCTGACATTGGGCATAGTAAAAAACTATACATCCATAAGCGCCCCCATAAAAGTACAACGTACATTCAAATGTAGGAAGAATCTTGGGAAATCTACTACTGTTTTGCAGGGTTTCCATATATTGAGCATTTTGAGGATGTTGAAGAGCTGGAGCTGCTATATTTTTAGTCATTTTCGTCTGGATGCTGTTCACAAGAACACAGGGTATTTTACTCCTGGTTGTTCCTTGCTCTACTTATTTATTCATGCCGTGTAGCAACTCTTATATTTCATGCTTAGTGATCACTCTCAATTTACCTTTCATTCATTCGTTGATTCTGTACTCTTCCAAGTTGATATTCTCGAATTTTAGTGTGTTAAATGTCAAGATATCTTCGGAATTGCTTCTAAATCAAAGCAGTTGAAAATTATTGAGTCTGCGATTTGACATTTTATAGTCTTGCTCCTGCATTATAATGTGATACAATGCAAACGTTAATTGATTTTAATTTGAACAGGCAAGAGCGAGGTAACTGGTGCCAGCACCACTTTAACTGGTTTTCCTTTCATTATTTTAACTGGTTTTCAATGTCTCGTTTTCGCAAGTACTCAAAAAAGAGGTAGAGACCTATGTGCCTATTTTCGCAGAGGATCCAATGTCTCAAAAAATAAGATGCAGAAACAAGTGCAACGTTTTTGGTAATGTTGAAAATCGGAGCGTTTAACTTATCAAAAATAGTCTCACTATGTTATATGAAATAGCCTTTTAGGCTTTTAGCTGATACTTTAAAGGGTAAATTTGGCTAGGGGTCTCCAACCTTTTGTTAGCGTGGCAACAGTGTCTTCAACTTTTAAAGTTTTGGCAGCGTGCCTATTCTTAAATAATGGAAAACATTTATTTGAACGTTAAATGGTTACATGACACAAGATTTGTACTTCGAAGGAAACCAAATGATGATTTCTATCAATATTCATGAAATCTATTCTGTTGCTTTAATCGATATGCGATATCATGCGAGTGTTTAACGTTGAAATATGTTTTATATTTTCTATTATTAGGGGACATAGGTGCCCATACTTTTAAAATATTCGGAACAGAGTTCAATAAATGATAGTTTATAACTTTACAAAAGTTGTGGGAAACCTTGGTGGAATTTATCCGATCACCGTGACTTCTTCCTTGCTCTTTTTGCGTGTCTCCATGACCATGTGTTCCATGCCCTTCCTTATTTATATCATATCAAAAAATAAATAAATAAATAATATAATTTAGCTAACTTCAAATTTATTGATTGTAAAACTTATTTTTGTCATCTTTCTACAATTAATTTGAAGTTTGTTGGTACAATTAAACACAGGCGCAGTGATGAATCAAATAAAATAGATAAAAATATTTATGCGATTGACATTATAATTATTGACAATAGACTTAAATAATTGGTCTTTCTGACCAGACCCATACTGAATTATCGAGTTCAGAAATTCATGGGCATCTGGAAAAGTTGAGCATTGAAATTCAAATTCAGTACTTCATTTATTTAAATTGATAGAGATATACGATCCAAACATGAATAAATAATACACATCAATTAAATAGTGGTAGGAACACTAAAAATTCTCTTGCAACTGTATAATTGTTTATTTCACGTATTAGAAAAAATCATTTACATGTTCCCAAATGTTCAAAGAAATTGAATTTCGATCAAGCCAATTAACTTTACGGCTTTCTTGTACTAAACATGTTTGTCAAGTAATATATGACAACACAACAGACATAATTTGAATTTCGTTTCAATTTTTCCGTTAAATTACGTGTACAAGTTGATGTATCAGTCCCACTAAAATGTACAAGGCCCAAAAAGACCTAATTTTCAAAGGCTTTACAAAAAAAAAAAAAATTGAGGCAAATCCTGATTCTGTAACAGATAATCTCATCAACATATACAAACTTGAAAGCTCCTTGGCCAGTTAACTAAGAATTTCCAACCTTGGAAACAAATCAACTATAGAACTACAAAATTGTAGTTCCAACCATTACTTTAAGGAGGTAAAAGGAAAGAGAAAAAATAATTGACAAGAAGAAACAAACTTACCGAGAATGCAAGTTTGTCGCCTAATCCATGAAAATCTATCTGCTTTACAATTTTGTAATAGTCGAGCATCAGGAACTCCCATGAGATCTGACGGATGAAATTGACTGAGCTGAAACAGAAGCAGTTGGGCTGCTGAGTTCCCCATTAGCAGCTTTGGGTTTTCCACTCAATCTTTCCATTGCATCTTGGCAAATGTCAGTAAACCACTCATCTTCCGGAAGTACACTGCCACCAACAATATTTGAGCTAAGGTGAGCTAGAAATTTCTTAAGAAAATTTAAGATTTCTTTCGCGTTATTTTGGCTATATGCAACTGTAGTTTGTAGCATGTTCAACTATTCATTTTTCTTGGACTACCCACACAGAGCAAAAGTAGGGTATCTTCAATAATGGGCTTCAGCCTGATCTTGCAATGTGTGAGTGAAAGAAATGACAATGTCGCTTGTAAAGTTTTTTCATCCATTCCGACACATGAATCAATGATTAAAGCAAAACTACCCATCCTATAATCTTTCAGTGGTTTCTGAATCCCATATAAACGAATGAAAGGACAAAACAAACTCAGGGTCGGTAACTTCTTCAAAAAGTCTCGCGTGGATAAACAATTGCTGAAGTAGTGGAACAAGTACCAGCACAGCGATATGGAAGAAAAGGCTACCCCATCTTTGATTTTTCCATTCCACGAGTTAAGCATATTAAGGGTGTGTTTGTTTCCCATTATTGGGAGAAAAATAGAGTAATGAATAGTATTTTTTGGAGAATGTGTGGTAGAAATTTAAAGTAATTTTATTGGTTTATGTGTAGAATATATAATTGTATGAATGTGTGTTGGAGAAGTTTACTATAGCAAACAATTTTTTAGAATAATGGTAGACAAACACAGGCTAAAATTTAAAAGAAGTTTGCTCTAACTCCCAATAAAATTGAGGTAGACCACATGAATACTTTTCAACCATTCTTTCAATCTGGGTTACATCTACTCAAAGTTCCAATTATATTGCATAGCATCGATATTAGTTTGGGTTTCCACAAAAACGCTTCTATACTATCTTATTGAGATCACGGTAAATGAAAAATTCTTTAGATCTACCTAGTACATACCTCGACCACTTATGATGTCATTCAATTAATTTTGCCCAATTACTTGTAGAAATATTTTCTCATTTATTATCTTATCCATTCCAATATAGCCATACATTAAATCATCTCTCGTATGTTTTGTCTAAAGGATAATTTATTCTTTTGAGGACCGAACGCTCTATGCCATAAAAACTAACTAGTTTATTAGTCCTAATAACCATTAGGTAGTACTTTTCTTTTAGCTTGACAGGTATCTTCTGATCACGAGGAAGGAATCCATGCACATTTTTCCATTTCATCCAACCTACTCCAATCTTATGCATTGTAAAAGTCTTAATACACAAAACAATCAGTATTCAAACACCACAATTCTTGATTGTAACTTCACATTTGTCCTTACTTCTACCACTGCTAAAACCTACTACGTATCCAGCTCAGTTTTACTTAAAAATGTTGGAATCTAAGTGCTTCTCAAAGTTTCAACTTCCAATTTATCCCTTATTCATTTCATTAACTAAAACTATGTAACCAACAAATAACCTACAGGGGACCTCTTCTTGAATATGTCTCATTAGCCCATCCATGACGAAAGCAAAAGGGACAAGGACATAGGGCAGACATTTGATACATATCCATAGTAATAGGAAATTTTCTAATTTTACTCCACTAGATGTCACACCTGAAACTGCTTTATGATGCATATCTTAAATAATATTGACACATCAAGTAGAAATTCCTTTTTCTTTGGCACACACCACAGCATTTCATCTAGCACCATAACAAATTCTTTTTCAAATTAGTAAAAATAACATACAATCTAGCTTCTTTTCTACTTTTCTATCGTTCTACCAATTACTAACAATAGATCTCCTTGGTATAAAGCCAAATTTGTAGAACCTTAAATCACACTTACTGTACAATCCCTCTCCCATGGTTTTAAAGTATGACTGATGAACTCAACACCTCCATAGTTCGCATAATTATAAATTATGAGTATCTCCTTTAACCTTATTACTGCTCACCTTCTAACCATCATGCATCCTTTTACTTTTTAGAATCTCATTAAATAATTCTGTCAAGCATAAAATACCCATGACGCCAGGACACTTGAGGACTATATGCGGATCAATTGTTATCCTGATCTTCATCCTCATAAGAGCTCTTACTTCCAAGAATCAAATTCTTCTATTATAGTTAATATTTTTTCTTCGATGGTGTTTAAGAAATCTCCAAGACATGTGCTTTGCCTTCTATGAAATAATTTGTCGATTAATTTCTCTAGCATTTTCTGATCTCATTACTATGAAATTGTAACTATTTGGATTTTGTCATTCTACACTTTAAAGGATTATGACCTGCACTTCTCTTTTCCTTTATCGATTTATCCCGTAAAGGATTTTCTCTTCATCCTGGTTCCACAATAACTATACTTCTTATACACTTCCACATGGGACTTGTGAATCATTCAAAAGTAAATGCACAACAATCATACCAAGGTTACAGTATAGATAGTACCTATACGGATCTGTGCCTGTTGCAGAAAATGCGGCCAGTGCTTTGGAAATAATATCATTGACAGCCCGACGCAAATTTCTAGACAAGTAGCGTCCTTGTGATGCAAAGCATATCAGAAAGTTCATATCCAAGTAGATCTGCAGCCAATACACATAAAGAAAAGATGGATATAATAGCATGGCAATCAGAGGGCAGAGTTCAAAAATAAATATCAATTTACAACCTGTTGAAGACCTAGAGGGCCTAAAGGCCTAGGTCCTTCCTCAATATCATCCCAAAACGTCTGGTCTTCTGAAAGCCATAAGATAACCGTCTCTGTGAGCCTCATCAATAACAACGTTGCAAATCTTTCCCGGCCTACAAACATATCTGCTGCCATGGCAGCCATCCTGTTCAGCTTTGCATAAAGTTCCTGACAGTACACAAAATAGATATTGTTAAATACCTGTAGAAACTTAATTATTGTTTGCCTTGAATTATCATAAACAGATTGTATACGGACACTGCAATGTAGATGCCTAGCTCTTAAGCTGCTTAACCCCGAAAAGGTCAAAGACTTTAATAATAGAACTAAGTGCCATCTTTTACAAGCAATAGAGATGATGAAGAACAAGCTACATGATATTGAGACAGACAATACAACGTGGTTCCAGATCTTAAGCTGTTTAACCCTGTAAAGGTCCAAGATACTAAAGAAGGAAACAAATGTTGCCTTTTAAAAGGATGAATACGTACATGATACAAGACAAAAATATAGGAACACTGAACAAGAAGATCCACACCGCTGTAATATTGACAATAAAAGATCGCAAGATAATGATAGCATAAGATTTAAACATTGCAGCCAACAAATTTACTGAAAAAATAGAATAAAAATACCTGGAATATTGGAGAAGGAAACCACTCTATCTCATCCGCATTCCCATCCATGTTTATGTAAATGTCTGCAGTAAGATGGCTATCTCCTTCTTCAGTAAAAATAAGATCTAGAGCATGGTGTTGACAAAAACTATCTTTCAATCTATCAACAGAGTTTACAAGACGCTTCTTCCATTCTCTTTGCTCAGGATTACGATTTTGCCGCTCAGATAGTCCTCTACGAGGATCATCCTTGTACGTAGCTTGATTTAATGGAGAGAGCTTCATGGCTGCACGTGGCAATAGCTCATCGGCTAGTAAGGATGCATTTGCAAGCAATGCAATTTGCTGGGCTTCAGTTTCAGCCATTCGAACAATTTTATTCCCTGAACCTTGGAAGTTGGCCTCATCTTCAATGGAGCTGGGTAATGCTCTTATGAGCATATTCACATATGAGTTGAACACCTGGAACAGACCATCCAACGTTTTACTTCCCAACTGCATGCTTAAAAGGGGTCCCACATCTTCAAAAAAATCCTGCAAAGGCAGTTCAACAGGCAGCTAAGTTTGACGCCATAAGGAATATAAGCAACAATAGAACGAAGAAACTTCAAAGAGTCAAATTATAAAGAAGTAAACATGCCTAGCTACTTTTTCTTGAAAATTAACATTAAGAACTTTATGAACCCATTCCAAACATGTAACATCAAAAGGAAAGTTTTAAAGCCAGAAAGGGGTACACGATGTTATGGAACTTGATCCTATCCAATAAACAGAACTGATAAAAGGTACAAATTAATAGATGTGCACAAAAACCAACTATAATCAAATCAGAGAGCCATAGCCGAATTGCCTATACTAAACATTAGGCTAATAACTTTAAAGTTAAATTGAAGTGAAGTCATACTTGATTGTTAATTTCCTGCTTATTCAACATGCTGCCAACAATTTGTCCAGAAATTAAATAATTTACAATGTTCTAGAAAATTCTGTAAATGACTATGCATGTCTTCATGGTCTATATTACATTTCCTCGAGGAAGTCAACAGTTGGATTCTCATGCCTGACAAAATTGAATGTGCTCATGTCATTATGGATGTACACATACTACTTGGAAAGTATAACAAATACCCAGCTAAGAATTCAAATTAAATATAGTGTTACCCAGGGCTAAGGATTGTTCATTGTTACAATAAATCACTATATATCCAGAAGAAAGCTTCATATTAAAATTGAAAGTCTTGGAATGGTAACACATGATCTTACAAAGCCCTTGTTTGGGCTCCATTAAAATCAAATTTTGGGGGAAAATGTATTTTGGAATAGTGATTTTTTGAAGGATGTGGGGTTAAAAAAGAAGAAAAAAATTTGGATTTACATATAATATTATTTTATTAGAGAATGTGTGGTTGAAAAGAAGAGAGAGAAAAATGCATTTTCATTTTAATGGAGTCCAAACATAGGCAAAATACACTATTTGCCAACTCTGCCGAGAAATCTAGGAAGCTAATCATCAAAGAAGAATGATAAGGAATTAAATTTGTACATTGGACTTCTTGAAGTGAGAAATGGTTAAGCGATTTTCTACAATATCATGGGGCAGCAATTGAGACAGAAAATCATTTTACCTGGACCATCACATTGAAACGATGAGCACTACTGGAAAGTTTGTGCTGATGTGCCATCATACCACCCAGAGCTGCAGGAGTCCTGCCAGATTGGTGTGAAGCAGTTGGAGGATATGTGAGATCCCAATCATCAGCAGCAGCTAAAGCAGCTGTGCTCTCTTCAATTCGCTTCAAATTAGCATCCAGCGCTTGCTCAACACTAGGTCTAAAGAGTTTCACAAGCACAGGACAAAGAGCAAGGCCACGAGCTTCCAACAGTGAACAGTGTCCTAAAGCTATTTGAACACATTCTGCAGCAGATCTTAAACCCCCAGCAGCAGCAGATGAAGCTAATGCATGTCGTTTGACAAGATGTGCAAAGGCCTCAGTTTGCTTTGAAGCCCACATCACTATCTCAGATGTATAAGCTGTTTCTTTACCAAAAATAACCAAGGAATCACTGACTGCTTGAGCAATGGCAGAGAATACAAGCTGTGACAGGGCTGCTGTATATGCTCCTCCATAAGAGGTGCTTGATGGATGAAGGCTTTGCATGTTGTATTGGTATCTCTGGTAGTGCGCATTGAGGAGTAAAGTGTGAGCACGAGGACCATCCCCGAGTTTTTTGAGAGCTAAAATTGCTGCACGAAGCTCAGCACCACGTGTAGAAGGTTGACAAGCAGCTTCAGCCAGCTGATCTGCTAACTTTTGCCTGCGTTCAATTATAGAAGATTGCAGAGACAAGAGCATGCCAGGAGTCAGCGTTTTCTTTTCCTTAGCTTCAGACACTATGCGTTCTCCTTCATCAAGGCTGGCCAAAGCTTCATCAACTCTCCTTTCAGCCAACAGAACATCAAGGAAATCAGGGAACTGTCTAGACCATTTCTCCACATCTGAAGGTTCTCCGACTTCGTCATTGGATACTTTATTTGCAGCAGAACCTTCAAGATCAGTATCAGACAAAGAATCAATATGAACTCCCTCAGTTAAATTATGGACCAAGGTCGCCTGTGTGGATAGAAGGTTTCTCATCGACGAAAGCTCACCCTCCAAATCTGATATCTCTTTAGATGTACTGCCAGTTGCATTTAAAAAAAGAAAAATGAACAGAAAATCTAAAGATCCATAAAATGGATGAAATTCTACCAGATGTAAAATATAATGGACACAATATTAAACTATGACAAGCAAAAAAATCAAATATATGCAATGTGCCGGCTTGGATACCGTAGGCTCAAATGGTGGGAAGGTGAGGCAACGTGATTGATGGCTTTCAAACTTCTCTGAAACAGATGCATAGGATGTGTAAGCATTAGCTAATGGCAGCTATAATGGAAATTCGAGATACAGAAGAGGAATATACATATGTGCATGTATGTGTGTATGTGAGAGAGAGAGAGTTCAGCTGGGCCTATATGACCCATCACTTAGTTGGCAGCTGTATAAATCTTACCATAGCCAACCTTTTCAGTAATATAGAATTGTCATGATTAATTATTTTGACTATTCCAAAATTCAAAAAGAGGGAGGTTCTTTAAAGATATTTTGAAATAACAAGTTATTTGATATTTTGTTTAGGTATGCACATATACACTCTTTAACATCATTTTTAGCCAAAGAAGAGAGAGAGATATAGCAAGAGAAAAGGAAGAAGACAATTATTTAGTATGATGTGGGAAAGTGTGCTAAGAACTCACCGAATGAAAGCTGTATAATTAGCGTAGACACTTCTGCGCATTTCTTCGGCAGAAGATCTCTTCAAATCCATAAGATACGAGCATAATTGTCTTATTTCCTGCGAAATGTTATTGTACAGTTGTTATTTCCTGAAAGAAATATCCTTTTATAGTAATGTGGGGGCACAAGAGAGTCCATACATAGAAGAAAAACAGAGATTGAAGCAATCTAAATACGCAGCAGGTAATGCGGATTTTGTGAATTATAAAACATTTTTCCGACGCTCCCCATCCCTGCATACTCATTAGGGCTTATGCTCTCTGAATACCATTAAATGTACGAAATACACTGACACACCACAGACTCTCGGGGTTCGAGTCCAAAGCTAGTCAGAGTATGGTATTGCAGTAATTTTCATCGTTAATCAATTTCAGCTAATCAATCAATTTCAACGCCAAGTTGAGCAAATTTAGCAGTACAATAATTTTAAATAAGATAATATAAATATTTCACCTGCCGATCCCATTTTAAAAGCCAACTCAATACTGCCTCACAAAGTAAAACAAAATCAGTGTTCAGATGAAAAAAAGATGAAAAAGTGCAAGAATTTAATAAAGCACACCTGCTTTGTTACTTTATATTTTTTAGCTTTTATGGTGCTTCACTAAGGGCTGCAATTTGATGCCAAAAAAGTGATTAAGGTCCTCTGTGTCGTGTTTTGGATACACACACATGCCTAGGTTCTCTTTTGACCATTATCACACCATATAAATCATAAAAGATGCTATCAGGAGTCATTCACCAACACAGAGAACAGAACAGCTAGGAGCCTATGACAATCTTAACTAAATTTATTAAAGAGTTGAGTGCATATATCAATCCAACGAAAAAAAGAAATTCACTTGACTTCTGTCCGCATTGCTTCAAAACTATTCAAGATGTTCTTTAAATAGTAGACGGACATCAGAAAAATTAGGCTCGTACCAAGCCATTTTACCTTGGTGAGGCAATGCCAAGCCTAGAGGAGTAAACCTTAACACAAACCAAAAAAGTTGCTTAAAAGAACTTAAAATACAAAAAAAGGCATAAAAGGGAAAACAGAAAAAAGCTGATAAAAGGATGAGACCAATAATAAAATGTCCATAAAAGGCAAGACAAATGGGTGACTACCTTAGTCACCTGGGACTTCGCCTTGAGGTGTATGCCTCGATAAATCAAGGTCTAACCTTACAAATGGCACTTAAGGATGTTTAATGGAAACCTCACATGAGAAGGGATGGTGGGCAAACAATGTACATCGCAGCTAAATTGATTTAGATCCATACTCACTGGTAAAATCCATTTGTTCAACTTGTAACATGGTAACTTCGGCCGCATTAACATAGGATGTCATAAAGGACGAATTTCTTGTACTCATGTTTCATCGAACAATTATATAAAAGGGTCACGACGAGTTTCAACATTTTGCCAACCAAATCAACATCCTTGCACCCATTTTACACAATGCTTACCAAAAGCCCAAATGGTGGTTCGGTTTTTGAAAACTGAAAAGTAACAAAATTGCTAGAGCTAGGCCTGTAACCGCATCCCTTATGTTTCATTACACTCACTTCCCATCCTTTTAAACAGTAAATTATATTAGAGTTCTAAAATACTAGGCTGCCTAATTAAGAAAAACCAAATGAATATAGCGAAAGGAGTGTAGACATAACATAACGGCAACGGAAATATATTTAGTTGGTGACAAACCATTGGTGATTAAATTTTGTAAAGTTCTGTAACAAGAGGAGCTCTTTGTTCAGTCAAGATAGCATATTTTCAAATTTAATTTTCTATTTTGAATAGTAATAGAACCACAATAATTTTCGAAACCAAAAAATAGATGTATTCCAGTTTTCTGCATTTGGTAAAGAACAATTTCTTTGTCCTGAAAATAGGTGTAGCCAAAGGGGCAAGGTTTCCAATTTTCTGCTTTGGTTAAAGAACAAGTTATTTCTCCTGAAAATAGGTGTGGGCAAGGTCTCCTATTTCCAATTTCAACTATTAATTATAAGAGAACTCTACCAGTAACATATATAGACCTGGAAGATCAAATTCATAATTCCAACTATACCGCATTTTTACATTAACAAATAATCCAACTTTCTCAACTGAATTAAAAATTCAATTAATTAATAAAAAATTTAATTAAATTCATAAGAAAAAATTGGGGAACCTTTTCATTGAGGGACTGACACTTGGACTGGACGAATGTATCGGCGTCAAAATTATCGGACTTGAAGACGTTTATATTCTCTTCGAACTTGGTGCCGGCATCTTTTGAACTCCCCTTCACTGCTCCTCCCGTGTGTGATGCTCCTCTTGACCGAGACGACTTCAACGATGCCATAACCAACCAAGATAACGCGTTTCAGATCCGATTATTGTTCCTCCTGCGCAAGTTCAGGGCTAATTTAAATTGATCTAACGAATGTATAACAAAAACTAATTGGGACTCAGGTTTTTAGAGGGTTAAAACAGAATTTCCATGTAGTGAAAGAAGAATCGCCGATTCCGACGGGGTTGTGTTGTAGAGAGAGAGAGAGTTTGTTGGTTGGCCAGTCGAGTTTAGCTTAAGCAAAACCAATTTAAGTTCTATTTAAAAGTGGATAAATAAAAAAGTCAAAAGGAAAATGCCATTTTGCCCGAATAAGTGCTTGTTTCGTATGAATTTTTGGGCGAAGAATTGATTTTTAAATAGTGATATGATGGGAAATGTGTGGTTAAAAAAAAATTATTGATGTGATTGAAAATATTATTTTATTGAAGAATGTGTGGTTGAAAATGAGAATTAATTTAATTCTCAAATAAAAAACAAACATCCTCTAAATTTGACATTTTGGTTGACATCCTCTCTCTTATTTGTGGTGGGACCCATGTGGGGCCATATGAATTAAAAAAGAAAAAAATTCCCTCCCACCCCCATGTTGTGAGGGGTCTGGCAGGGAGAATGTAATTTTCTCAAGGTTTTTTTTTTTAATAGTCCAATGGTGTGTTGCACTGGCGGACACAAGGAGGGGGCTGGGGCACATGCCCCCAACTTTGCTTTTTTTTTTTTT